CTCGTGACGCTTGACCCTCCCATTAGTGACCCTCGTAACGCTTGACCCTCCTCTTAGTGACCCTCGTAACGTTTGACCCTTAGTGAAATTTACATTCTTCATGTGCTAAGTCAACATATCGCTTTTTTTGGTGATAACCCAACGAGTTAAGGGGGTCATCCCATGTGGCGGCCGGTTTTTGATGCTATATTTGGGAATTTTTTGTGGAGAAATGAACGAAGTGACAACATCGAAATTTTTACTACATATTTATTGGCATTCCAAGATAACACTCTATTTTTTTGGCACAAAACTCATTGACCCATGCCGAGCTATCCAGCGGCAAAGTCAGTCATGAAAAAAAGGGGTAAAACGGTATACACGATTCCGAGAGTGCTGATGATCCGAAATTAAAAAATAAAACGGGTTCTCAATCTGTGAAGGTTCAGCTATCTGCTGAACTAGGATTTTTCAAAAATATCAAAATTTTAATTTTTGGCAGGCTCTTGAAATTTTTTAAACGAATTTTGGTGTTTTTTTTCGACTATTTCCTTAAAAAAAAAACTAGTTTAGATATCGCAATTATCTTAGTTCAGCAGATGCATAGACATCTACTGAGTAACTCTTCCAAAGTTTGTTGAAATCCGTTCACTAAATTTCGAGTTATCGTGTCAGCCAATTTCGAAAATGCAGTTCCGAGAAAAACGCGTTCGAAGAATTCACATACCATTATCCGGTATTGAGTGTTTGGCCCAATTCACTGCTATAACTTTCGAATGACTTCGAATATCGAAAAAATACTTCGTACGCATATTCTACGATATATATAGATGGAATTAGTGTAAAAAGAAATCGATTTTTTCAACTCGACACATGGGATGACCCCCTTAAGTCAACTTGACTCTNGCCGTTTTTTTGCTCTCCTGTAAAATTCCTTTTTATGCACTTACCTCGTTTTACCACTTCACTACAGAGATCATCGTCGCGCACGTGCAAGATTGTCTTCCGCGCCGAAGGCGAGGATGGCAAGCACGTGGGGGAGTGTGATGTTTTCTCTATTTGGCTCTATTATGACGAGAAGCCGATGAGCGATTTCCTCATCGCACGTCTCAACAAAGGTGGTGGAAGCGCGCGCCTACTGACAGGGTAAAAAATCGATAGTAAAGAGATCGGTTTGCATAAAATGTATTTTTGGCCTCGTCACTCCGACTCTCAACTGACTCTCAATTTTCTCTCAAACACAGGAAATTATGGATAGTCCAAATATCAACTTGGTCCATCCCTATAATTTTCTCGAAAACAGGAGAATTTTCCTAGAATTTTCTAGAAAACTTAAGAATTTTCTAAAACGTTCTCGAACACCTTAGAATTTCCTCGATTTTGTTTGGAAAATTCGAGATATAATAGGAGAGGGTGGGGCAATATGGGCGCCAGATATAAATAATGAGTTGAATTCGATCAAATCTACTGTTCCGACTTCATTTGAAGATCATAAAAGCCAACAGATTCTCATAAGAGTGCATCGTAAGAAAAAACCGGGTAAAATGGATACCTTGATTTCTTTCTCAATTTTTCAACAATTTGATTCAATTTCTGAAACGCTAGTCATGATTGCGATTTTCAAATTGAAAAAAAAAACTTATTTTTGATGTTCGCCATGGGGGTGGTAAATCAAATTTTTCCTTCCTCATTTATCCTCCTCTCCGCCTATTGTTTTATCTCAAGCAGCACAGTTCTGGAGAGTATCTGCAAGTATACTAAAAAGGCTGTCTAATGTCTATCCAAAAAGATAACTTGTGTCTAGAAGTTACCTAGAAGTAAACAAAAAGTTATCGTATGACTGCAAGATACCTTTTGGACGGACATTAGTCAGCCTTTTTGGTATACTTTCAGATATCTTTCGCAAGGTTTGCTACTTGGGATGGTGATTTCCTCTGTGAGTAGAAAAGTAATCATCTTACAAATTTCACAAATGGACAAAAGGTCAGATGTGTAGGGCATGCAATTGATAATTGAAAAAGAATTAATAATTTCAAAGTTATTTCAAGAGTAAAACAGGAAATTCAAAGCTCTTTATATTTCAAACTTCAATGTAAAATTTAATAGAGTCGAAGTTTGTTTGTTAATATCTTTCCTAACTCTAATTTTTGTTTATAAAAAGATACCGATACGATTCTCTTGGAAAATGTCTTTTAAAACTTTTCTTTATTTTTGGATAGAACCAAATTTTTCGGATATCCATTTTAGCCCACTCTTGAATAATTTCTCAGTTGTAGACTTTGCCAAGAAGCAATTTTTAAAAATCAATTATTGAAAATGTTTTGAGTGTTCATTTTAGTCCCGCCCATACAGATTTATCAGGTGTCCATAATGCCCAATGAAACAATTTTCAAAAATTTGAATTATGAAAAACAAAAAAATTCGCAAATATTTGAGTGTCCATTTTACCCCGAATGTCCATATTACCCCACCCCCCTCTAATTTTTTCAAAAACCAAAGAATTTTACTAGAATTTTCTCGAAAACCTAAGAATGATCTAGAACTGTCTCGAAAACCCAAGCTTTTTTTGGAATTTTCTAGAAAACTGGAGAATTTCTTTGAATTTTCCAGAGAATAGGAAAATTTTCCCGAAAACCTAAAAATTTTCTCGAACATGCTCGGAAACCGTAGAATTTCCTCGAATTTGGTTTGAAAACTCTAAATATCCATATAATTTTTTCAAAAACTGGAGAATTTTTCAGAATTTTCTCAAAAACCGAGGAATTCTCTCGAAAATCGGAAATATTTCTCGAAAACTTCATGGGAAACATGAGAACATCTACCGGAAAAAATAAACACGAAGAAAATAAGAAACAAAAATTGCGGGGCCCTTTCCAAGCCCCACTTTTATATGTCACCCTGGTTTCCTGCCATTCCCGCAGTTACCGACATAGCTATGGTTCGGATAAAGCTTCTTGCTTTGACCGCAAAGGGGGGGGGGGGCGTAAAATCGCCACTCGAGAAAAAAATCCCTCCATGCGGGCCTTAACGTAATGACACAAGCGATGCTGTTACGTTCCAAGCTGGTTCTCCGTTGAACAGATGGCAGGTGCAATGACCGTGGAGCGCTAAAGCACTCTGCTCCACAAGTGCGGGAATTTTCGAATAAAAATAATTGAACACGAACACCAATTTAATTAGATAATCCAATCGAAACGTTTATATTTACTTTTCAAAATTTAGAAGATATTTTACAACAACACTTTGGGTTTTTAAAACTTGAGAAGACGATAACAATTTCTCTCGAACTTCTCGTATCCACGTATGGGGTGGATCTGCCCTTACTCTTACTCTAAAAATTAGTCTAAGTGTCGAAGACGAAGGGCCCATCCCACAGAAAAGAGTAGGGGACCAATCGTGGCCTTGAATCCAGTGAACAGTGTTGGTCCAACACCCCCGCGATCGCTCGAGCTGGCCCAGCCCCAACTCTCGAGTCTACGTGACTTGAACAAAGGGCCTTACATGTGGTTTTTCGGGAGAGACAGAAAATGCTTGAATTTCACCCGGGGAAAATAAACTGTCTCCAGGAAAAGATTTTACGACCCAAACGGTTTAATGTCAAGCTAGAATTGCACTCGAAAACTCCATATAAAAAAAACAATACAAAGGATCTTTTATTTTTGGATGGCCAGAGCTACGTCGAGAGACTCTTTAGATTTATTACTCGTTTCCTGTTTACGAGTTTCTCGAACTTACTTTCCAAAATTCTATATTTTCTTATTTCCAAAACTGTGGGAATATTTCAACTAGCTTAAAAATAATATTGGATTTATAAAATTATCAGATAAAAATATTTGAATCTCAATGGTATAATCTAGTGGAATAATGGTAGTCATAGGGACTCTATATGGCAACTCGTGGTTTACGCGACAATGCTCAGTCAGCTGACTAGCAATTGAAAGGTTCTCATCACTGGTACGGTGGTGAGGCGGCGCTGTTTTCCCCTAGCGGCCTGGATGCTTGACTTCAGTGTAGACCAATGGGAACATAATACATCATCTATTTTACGTACAGCACTGATCTCTACACTAAGTATAGAGATCAGTGGATTCTACACTGTACCGCATTCGCCCTCCTATAGAACATAGAAGTAGCATGTGAAACCACAGGAAACCCATGCCGGTACAGACGGTTACTCTACTAGCAACCTTCCGCTCACCGGAGCCTTCCGTTGAAAAATTCGGTTCCACGGGGAATCGAACTCACAACCTTGCGACAATTCCCGGTTTTCCGTATCTCCTGAAACACTGGACACCCTGTTCAAGCTTCTAGATTCAGTAGTTTCGGTGTACATTGATATGATAGTCACACTGAAAGTGGCCTCTTCCTCTGTATATAAAATTTTACTAGTCAGCTATTGAATTATTTCCATCATTTTCTACCAACACAACATTGAATCAATAATTTTCAGGTCATCGAACAGGATCCCTTCTGGATACCATCAACTGAAGAGGAATACCTGCACTTTGGTGAGAAAGGTGACAGCACAAATCGTGTCAAAAAGTACATTGATGCAGTGAGAAGACGGAAAGGCCTCTCCGTTGACTCCCAATTGGTTACTCACGCCGAAAAACAGAGAACTCTTTCCAAAAAGAAATGAATCATATAAATCGTCAATGAAAACTACAAAAAACGCATCTATGTATTAACAATGAAAAAAACATACATCAGTGACAAGTGCATTCTCCCCTGAATAATAATCAATGTAGTAAAGTCACGGGTGGGCACAGAGGCCTTTAATGGCATAGTCATATCCATCGAATGAATAGAAAAATAAAGGAATACAAAAATAAATGTTACAGCGATTCATTGTTTGTTTTATTAACTTATTCAATCAAATTAATTTTTTTCCGAAAACGTCACATAATGTAAAGACATAAATTTCCTTAATCAACACAGAACACGGTTTTTTTCCCCTGAAATCCCTGTTTCCAGATCTCTTGCTGTTTTTTCCTGGCGATCCAAGATGGGTGCAAATTTTCACTATAATCCTCCTTTCCGGTCATATTTTTACCCTTCGTATTATCAAATTTCTTATCTCTTCTAAACTCTATCCCAGAACTGTCCTTTAATGAGCCTTGTATCCCAGAAAAGTCTGTTCTACGCCTTTCAAAATCATTTTGCCGCACTTTGTGATACTTTTGAAAGCCAGATATTTCCAGACTGCGATCAGAAGAATGGGCACTTCTTTGTGTCCTCGAGGATGATTCTTTGAATCGATTGTGAGAATTCTCATCTCCCGCGGTTCCTGAGTTTGGTCGAGGGACGATTATGGACTTGTAAACCCCTTCGGGTGTTGCAGATATGAAGAAAGAGTCCTCTACTGTGTCCAACTCATCTTTATGCTCGAGAAGAGGTAAGTTATAATTTTCTGATATTCCATCGATTTCTTCGAGGGACTCACCGACTTTCAGACGTTTTACCGAAGCAAGTTTACTCACTGGTCTACTTTTTCGAGATTTTTCCGGAGATTTTTTAAGTTCTGGTGTTAAACTACTATTAGACGAATCCTTCGAGAGCGATTCTTCATAATTCTTGGAGGGTTTTGGAAATTGTTTCAAAGGGGTTGAAGGGATTTGCTCGGGAGTTTCTTCTACGATATTTGATGTTACTGAATTACAGTAGGAAGATGAATTCATTTTTCCTTTACCAAATTTTCGATTTTCGGCCTTTTTCAATGCTAGTTTTCGATTTTCTATTGAAGGTAAAGATTTTTTACGTTTGATTCCATGTTTTTCAAATGCTGGAGTTTCTTCTTCACTTTCTGTACTTAAAATTAATTCTTTATCACAATTTTCAGAATAATCACTTGACACTAAGGATGTCTCTTCCGCAGATCTTTCATCATCTTCGCAATTTCCATTTTTATTGCAATTATCATTAGCATTATCTGATTTTATTCCCTGATCTTTTTCTCCTAGATATTTTATTTTAAGTTTACAAGGAAGAGCTTTTATTCCCAAAGATTCTGTTAATTTATTATTCGCTAATTGTCTCTTTCCTAATTGATAATGCGGGAATTTCTCCTTAAATTTATCAACTGCAACTTTCAAAACCTTGTGATATGCCAATTTCGTCATTACTCGAGTCTTTCTATCAATTTTGGAATTTCTGAGTACTTCATCAAGACTCCTCGTATTGAGAATCGCGAATTTTGCGATATCATCGTCCTTGAGGCTTTTGATTGCTTTTATTTCTCTTATTAATTTCTCCGATTTTTTTTTACATTTCTGGAGGGTTTTCTCATCCCCATGTTTTCGGTTTTTAAAGAGTTTTGCTTGTTTGGTAATCTTCCAAATGACACCAACACGTGCCTTGCGGACTGTTGCTCTCATACGGATAATCTGAAAACAAAGAATTGATTTTTATCAACTTTCTCATAGTAAGTAATGTAAATGGCCAGTTACAAGGGATACTCAGCTGATTAACTTCTACATTCTGACTAATAAAAGTAAATGTAATACATTTCACTTTTTTTTCTTCAAAATTTCGACCTATCGAATCGTTGCATTCAACCCATCTACTGTTTCAAATTGGTGAACTTTCGGAAAAACCCCGTTATTAATAACAAAAGAGAAATGCATCGATAGGTAATTCTATTTAGTCGGGATGCTAAGCAAATGATGATTCGGGAAAGGCCACTGGAGTTTAAAGATAAATAGATGGCGTGTTTCTATCAAACTTCCTTGTATAAAATGTAGTAAGTGTCACAAGAAAATCCCTGGCAAGTGTTCGGGTTATTTGACCTGCAAAACTTGACATTGATTCAAGTAAAATGTTTGTATGCAACCAGCATCCTGCGATACCCCTTTTGTATCTGAGGGGTATTCCTACTGATTTATTTTCAACACAAAATCTTTTTGAGCGTTTCGCAGCAACTTTTCATTTGTTTGTCAACATTTCATCGTAGCTCTCCAATAGAATTTTTTTACTGATTATTTCGCCCTACGTGCAGTATTCAAGATTTCAATACACTTTTTAGAATGAAGATTTCCTCCCCTGGAGTTTAGGAATGGTCTAGCCTTGGCCCATCATTTTCGCAGTACCTGCTTTATTGGGACTTTACTGTGACAGTGTTTTTAATATTGAATGTTGCAGGTATATAAATTATTTATCATTTTTTCTTGGGATTTTGTACTTTTTAAGTGCAACCCACGCCCTCCGGAAACCTTCAATGCCGTTAGGCCGGATTTCTGCGATACTTACTACACTGACGGGGAAGCATGCGAGCGCTTCCGTTACCACTTCAAGTAGCTCTACCCTTACGGTAAATTCAAAGATTACTGAAGACTGCAAAAAAATTGCAGAAAACTCGATTAGATTCGTAATTCTAATTTTTTTTCTCAATTTAATTATCGTTCTGCTTTTTCAAAGACGAAATTTTTACAAATCAGGATTTAACCCAATGTCTTATGTGAAAATCAACATTTCCATTGTAATCAAAGATTAAAATCTGAATTTTTTTTCATTAGATGTGACAAAATCAAGAATGTTATTGACACCTCATAAAAAATAATCCATCGTTTTGCAAACAAGTTTTATTATTTATAAGAGGAAAATGTTTGAAAAAATATCAATATTTTGCGAAATTTAATTTAGATAATACTGACTGGGTATGAATTTTTTCAAATTTTTTCCATGTAATTTAGTGGAAAAGGGTAGGGCGGCCGAAGGGTAGAGCTACTTTAACAACGTAAACTACTAAATTGGCGAGTGTAAAATTCCCTACAAACCATTTCTAGAGCATTTTACCGCTATTCCTAATGGTTCATCCCCTGCAGCTGTGTGAAGATCTGATGTGAAAAACAATTTTTTTCAATGAAAATAAATCCATTTTTCAAAATTTTTTATTCCAAATACTTTCAAATATTTGTTGAAATCAACCTCTAAAATTGTTCTTCAAAAAATAATAAGAGTTAAATTATCACGCAAACTTGATTGTAACTTTCAACTGAATCGACGAATTTTTTTTTTTATAATTCTCATTATTAAGTTCCCATTAAATTTTGTGAGAATCATTTCAATATTGGGATCTCTTGCAAATGTACAGGCGCTCTAGCGGCTCAATTGATTACTAGTTCGGGCAGGTCGCAGAGCTGTCAGCTAGCAGGTTGAACTCGGAGCCAGAACTGTTCTCGCAAGAATAAACATCATTTCGCTCAATGTTTTTATCATTACGATATTTTACAATCATCGAAGCTAATTGATTCAGTCGAATATTGAGAATAATTACATTTGATTGATCATGGAGTTTGCGGAGAGGAAAAACAAGAATAAAACATTTTGCAGTGTGTATGGATGAACAGCAAAGTTTGTGGTAATTCAAAAGTTAGATTTTATCGTTTTCCTCGCCAAAACGTGGATTCAGTTACAATAATTAATAAGTTCGGTGAAGAAGAAATTATTGATAGACGTACGGCTTGGATTAAAATATTGAGAATGGGCAAAAAAGTGTCGAATTCCATGAGAGTTTGTTCTTTACATTTCACTGAAGAGGATTTCTTTTTGCCATGTAAGTAAAAAAGCGATTTCCAATATTAACTTGGAAATTTATGAATTGAAAAAAATATGATGAAATATATTACTGATTTCTTGAATTACAGCCAGAGCTCAATACGACAATTCAGTAATTACTCACCTGAAGAGAACCCGCAAACAATCGGAATTGTGGAGAGAAATTTTTGTAAATCTTCTCCACCACGAAAACTCTTGGCTCTCGGATGTGTATCAGCAAATTTACAAATCTCATGAAAAGTAACTCTCATTTTATCACAGTCAATTTAATAACAGTTGTTCCGAATCGAAACATATTTTATTATTGCAGAAAGAAAGTAATTATTCAAAATTCTGTTAATCTCTTAAAAATATTATTGCTTGAACATCTGCCCGGGAAAATCACTCAGTTTTACGGTTTTATTACGGTTTTAGAAGCATCGAAAATATTTCAGCACTTTATTATAGATGTCTACGTCTACGTGTTTTCCCCGTCCATTTCAAATAGCATTTTATTATAGAAGTCTACGCCCGCGTACTTTCCCAGTCTGCTCAAACTAATTTACCAAACGAACACAATAATTTTAGAGTGTCCACCAGCCTAATCCTCGTCCTCATTTATTATTTAATCCCAAGGGTACACATTCTCGAACGACCGTTTATTTGCAGTGCACTTAGTCGCGTAGAAACCCGACCGTCATAAACCAATTTCCATCCAGCCCTCTATTGCACCCAACCACTCGAGTTCCAAAAACGGACCCTCTCTCTCTCCTAACCAGTCTCCACCCTCAACTCCTACCATTTTTCTCATCGACCAATGAGTATTGGCCTTACAAAATTGTAAACCCAATGGCCAATGAAAATCCACCAGATTCTCCCTCTCAATCTGAAAATCCACCAGATCCTCCCTCTCAATCTCCCAACTTACTTTCCTAAAATTTGCTCTCTTCAAAGTCAGTTATCTTTCAACTATCGAGCAGACCAGTCNATATAAAAATGAGGGCTAGCGTGTAACTCCGTGTGCATCTGGCCGTTCGACCTGCCCGTGCTAACTCTCTACTTCCCCACGAGACGGCTTTGTATTAAGCCACGCCTCCGTCAGAGATCCCAATAGCTCCCATAGGATATGAAATATACGCGATTATCTGGTTTTCATCTCCAAAGCTTGGCTCCCTCGAAGAACCACTGCACGAGAGAGACAAACGCATATGTTCACGTCATTCGCACTCCTACCAACGATTCACTGACTAACGTGCATGCGCGTGACATCACAGCAGAATTACAATTGATGGTTGAAACTAGAAATCGTGAGTTGTGATTTTCTTCAAAAATTTTGCCAAAAGGTAGTATAAACACTTTTCTAGGCAATAGGAAATCTCCACGTTTGAGATGATTTTGAGACATCTGAGCCTAACTTTTCGAGACAATTTTTTTTATTTTTTAAAGGGGATTTTTCAATTTCTTGAAAATTAGGGCCAAAAGCTCGTATAAACTTCCTTCCAGGGAATAGAAAATATCCACTTTTCAGATGATTTTGAGCTGTGTGAAGTTGGCACCCGACTTTGACGAATCGTAACAAAAATTTAGTATCTGATTCATTTTGAGCTACACGTAATTGTAGTTCAATTTTTTTTGCTTTTAGTTGAAAAATGAGCGTCCAATCCATTTTTGAAAGACAGAAACTATTTTACAGTTACATCTCCAATGACATTGAATTCTTATCTGCGATCGTTTGTAGTTGATTGTAGAATTGAAATTTTTTCAATCCAAATTCAAATCAGCGTTCCATCGATTTTTGAAAGCCAAGTAGGAATTGATTGATAGCCGCGAACAAAATGACATTGGAATCCCATCTACAATTGTTTGTAGTTGATTGTAGTAATTCAATATTTCCATTTCAATTAAAAGTAAGTACGGAATTGATTTTATGAAATGGTATCGAGTAATCAATTTGAATCGAGGACCTAAAAGAGATCAGATATTTACAAGAGTTCGTTTGTAGTTGTTTGTAATGACGAAGAAAATTGGAAAAAATTAAAAATAAAACAAGGCTGAATATCAAATTTATGACTGAAGCAAATTGGAAAACGCTCATGTCATCGTAGAACGAAAAAAATTTTTGTTACTTATTGAAAAGATCAGATGTTCAATGCCGTTTGTCAGTAGTTTTTTGTAGTATCACAAGAATTCATAAAGAAAAAAATATGTTATATCCCATTCATTATCAAAAGACAACGAGGAGTTTTTCTACAGTTACATCTCCAATGACATTGGATTCTTAGCTGCGATAGTTTGTAGTTGATTGTAGAATTAAAATTTTTTCAATCAAAATTCGAATAAGCGTTCCAGCGATTTTTGACAGACAATTAAAAACTATTTTATAGTTACAGTTTCAATGACATTGGATTCCTATCTACAATCATTTGTAGTTGATTGTAGTAATTGAATATTTCCACTTCAATTAAAAACAAGTACGGAATTGATTTTATGAAATGGTTTCGAGCAATTAATTTGCATGGAGGACCTAAAAGAGATCAGATACTTACAAGAGTTCGTTTGTAGTTATTTGTAGCGACGAAAAAAATTGGCAAAAATAAAAAAATAAAACAAGGCTGAATATTAAATTTATTAGTGAAGGAAATTGGAAAACGTTCATGTCATCGTAGGACGACAAAAATATTGGTTACTTATTGAAAAGATCAGATGTTCAATGCCGTTCGTCAGTAGTTTTTTGTAGTGGCACAAGAATTCATTAAAAAAAAATTACATCCTATTTATTATCAAAAGACAATAAGGAGTTTTTCTACAGTTACATCTTCAATGACATTGGATTCTTATCTGCGATCGTTTGTGGTTGATTGTAGTA